CTTTTTTCCCCTTAAGTAGATAAGAGATCATCTCAGCATCATTGTTGTCAGTTCCTATCACGTTCTTGTTGTATCTCCTTCTCTCTGATCTCTCTCTAATATGATTTGATCTCTCTATCTGATATTATATCTTTTTCTCATCCCAGTTCTTATTTTTTTTATTAAAGTTTCCATCTTTATAACGTGTTGATGGGTATTATTAATTTAGTTTCACTTTTTTATTAAATTATTAAATGAAATATACACTATATAAATTAAAAATATTATTTAATATTAAATCGTGTTGCTACATAGATTGTATTAACGTTAGATCATATTGTTTTTTGTATGCCACACACTATATTACAAATCATATTTATTTTTTTTATTGCACCCATCCTCTTCTCCACGTTAGGACCCTACATTCGCTACAATAAAACACTACATTGTGACCCTAGTTCTTCTCAATGACATTGGAGATTTATGTCGTATATGTTATAGTTGATGTGTTTTCCTATATTAATTTTATTTGATATAGCTATTATTATTAACCTTAATTTGCTATTTTGTTTCAGTTGATATCATCTCATTTATTTTATGCTATTGTTTTACTTTTTTTTTCACTTGTTTTTATAAACGACCAACTGGTTTTGTAAAAATCAAAAACTTATCGGTTCATTTATAACCCACCCATTAACGATAGGCACAACTTGATATATGTTTTTCCGATAGGATTATAAACTGAGTGCTTTTTCTTGTCTTGGTCGATGGGGGAGTAAAGCTTCCCACCTTTAACTTTTTGATTTGTTATGATTAGTTTGTATGTCATATGGTCTTGGAAAATGAAAAGGATAGTGGGATTGAAAGGATGCTCCCATAAACCAATTTGAGCGTCAAACACAGGCATTGCTTGTAATGAGAAAGGCATTCAGAAGGGGGACTTTTGTTTCAAAATTTGCATCTACTCTCTTGAAGAAGCTGAATTATGGGGTATTTTTAAAGCTCTGGAGTTTGCTGAAAACATGTGCATGAAGTATACATCATTAAAGGGGATGTTATGGCAACTATTAACAACCTTAATGCAAACGATTGTGGAACCTTAGCCAACTGGAGAAGAAGATCCTAGATTGGACAAAGAAAGATTGGCAGGCCTGTTTTAGTTACATACCAAGGCAGTCAATTGGGGGCGGATTGGCTAGCAAAGCATGCCCTTGGAATGGCATAATGCTACCAATTATTTACCTTTGTTCCTTTAGATTTAGCTCCTATTGTGTATTGTGATTTGGGGGTGCTTCTTCTTTTGCCCCATTTCTTTATAGTTTTCTTTGTTTTGGACTTTGCCCTCCTCAGATACCCAAAAAGAAAAATACTTATTGTGAGGAGTGCCGTTCTATCATAATTAATCACAAATAATTTAAATCATATTCTTTTATTTTTGTTTGAGTCGAAGATGTACATTTTGAATCATTAGTTTTTTGGTGATGATTTTGACCTTGCTTTTATGGGTAGATGTGTAGGTTTCTATATTATGATTGACAACGTACTTGTTTTTCTATGTTTGATTTAGGCCCCATAAATGTGTATTTTTATGATATATATTTTTAAAAAAATTAAAGTATGAAATATAAATTTATACGTAGCTATCCAATTCAAATGATCCAACCAATAATTCACCGGTTGAACTAATGACTCAATGACCCGTTATCTCAATAGAGTCGATGATCGGGCCAAGTGTGATAACAATATATTTCTAATTTAGATAAGTTATAAATTGTTTATCATATGGTTAAATTTTTTATGTGAACCTAAATTACTATTAGTACTGTTACGGTAAGTAATAATTTTTCTTCTAAAAAGAGAAAAAAAAAGGTGTTGAATTGACATGATACGAAATATGTAAGGACCTGCACCGTTAAATTATAATTTTAGAAATTAAATAATAATTAAGTGAGATTATTAAATGAATGATTTTATTATTTTAATTAATTTAAGCTGAAGCACCTTTTTAAGAAAAGAATAAATATTGAAGGTATCGCGGTAAAAATGCAGTAGGCAAACTTGCCCGAAACTTAAAGATAATGATAATTATGATAATATTAGCAGGAAATGTTAATTATTGGAATTTAGTCATTTTCGGTGAAAAAATGCTGATACTGCCAGTACTGCGATAGAAACAGTAAGTATAGAAAAATACCCGGAACTAAAAAAAAAATATAGATTTATGCACCATAATATTTACAAGACATTGTAGTGTGAAATTATTAGAGAATTATGTGAGTATGGGTTGTGAACTAATATCGGGTATTTCACGGTATAAATAAGTACCAGTGAAATAACTCAAAAAATAAAAATAAAATAGGACTATTCTTAGAAAATATACTAGGTTAAGAATATTAAGTTTGAAAGTAAAGATAAATGGTAGAAGTGTTAGAACTAATATCGGAACAGTGGCCAAAGTGCCACTGTTGGCAAAAAAACACATCAAAATGCCATGCTAACAGTAATTTTTGCCAAAATATCACGTGGTATATTTCGTTACACTGTGTAGTGAAATATGTGTGCAAATAATTCGCTACACGATATAACGAAATATGCCACGTTAAAACTAAAAATGTCACGTGTCAAACAGGAAAAATTTCGCTATACAATGTAGCAAAATTTTCTTTATCTAACACGTAACATTTTTGGTTACGTGCATAAATAAATAGTTATAAGGTGATAAAGAAAGTGGCTGTTTGTTACATGCTGCAGGAATGAGAGGTGGCAAAAGAAGAGTGGATAATGAAATATAGCTGGAGATTACCGGAAAGTTGCACTCTCTAACGAAGAAGTACGGATAGTGAATGGGGTCCCCTCCTCACAAGTCACAACCCCACTTCAATTCCTGTACTCCACTGCAGCGCGTCCTAATTTCTTGACTTCACAAGTCACCACCCTACAAATCGTCAAAAATTAAAAATAAAAACAAACAAACAGAAGATCAAAACACTATGCTATGCCTATACTCCTACTTCTGCTAATAAGGAAGTCAAATTTCTAGCACTCATGCTATGCCTACGAGTATAGGTGTTGGCGAGGTAAGGACATATTAGTTACATATGATTAGAGTATAAACTATATTACCGGTAGTATATATTATTTGATTATATATTATTTATAATACATAATATAATTTGCAAGAATTTATAAATATAATATTTCTTATATGACTAATAAGGAAGGAGAGATATCGAAAAAAGAAAACGTGACAATAAAATAAAATGCAAAAAGCTCATATTATTTCCTTTTTCTTAAAAAAAAGTAAATATTTATTGTTAATAAGCTTATATTAAATTAGCATCAATTAAGGAGGATTGACTCAAGATCAAGTTAAATCACTAATTTCAACTATAAATTAAAATTATATTACATGTCACTTATCTAAAGAAAGAACTATGGATTTTAATTCAAACTACTCTATAGTGTCGTGACCAAAAAGTTGATTGAGTATTACAAAAAAAAAAAAAAAAGTTTATTGAGTGAATCAAATTTTTTAATATTCTTGTAAAAATAAGAAAGACCTATGAACCAACTAATTATGGTTTTAAATGGTATACAATATAATTATAATAAATATAAAAGATGAGTTTAAATCATAAGACTTAAGTGATACATTTATATAATCACATGGTACTAAATAATACACTTCTATAATCATTTAAAATCTCATGGGTCTAAAATATATATAAGGGTTTCTATTTTTTTATACAGTAAATGATAAGTATTTTATATTATAAACATATTTTATATAGGACTCACATCTATTAAACAAAATCTATATAAAAATCAAAGATTCACTTATTAAAAAAAAATAACTCTCTCATGATATAGTTGTTTTTCCCTATATATAATACGGTAAATGAACCATATAATCTGTTATGAGATAGTTGTTTTCCCCTGTATATAAAAGTGTTTTTCTGCAGTTACTGTATATAAGCAGATAAATTATCTGCAATAAGTCCAATACGATATTGTTTTGGGACGAAAATCATAATGTTTTTATAATTTTAATTTATTTCAGAGTTATTATAATATTTATAATTATAAATTTTAATATTTTAATCTCAAAATGATATTATTTTGAGAATAAATATTAATAACTTATATGCAATAATTGCAGAAATATTTTTTTTGATATATAATAAAGTAAATGGACCACGTAGTTATTAAAATCGGACCAACTCAGCCGGGTCGATCTGGGAACCGGTAAACCGGTCATATAACCGGTCTGGTTGAAGTAACGGACCGGCCATGCATCAGAATCGGTGCGACCCGGTCCGACCCAGCCGGTTTTCAAAAAAACCGGTGACCCGGCTCGGTCCTAAATTTTTTTTTTTCCAAATTTTTGGTTTTTTCAAAATAAATCATAATAGCCATATTTGAATATTTTTTTGTTTATTACTTACATAAGTTATGTACCTACAACACTAATATTATCTCAATTATGTACTATGCATCAAATTTTGAATTAATTTATGGGATTTGCATTCATCATTTAACATGACGCAAAAAAGTTTCTTACACATACAACATTTTGTCGGGCCACACTTTTTGAAGCAAAAAAAAAAAAAAACTACGACATTCAAAATGAATCTCTATAACATTACACAATCATTTTTCCTACAACATAACTCTTATAAAACCCTTAATTTATAGTTAGAGATATCGTTTTCTGAACCTAAAGTCCCGTATCACGATCATTATATTTTTGTTTGATTTTTTATTTGATAATAATATGTGATTTATTATTTTTTGTATTAAAATACTTGAAATTTTTATCTTATTTGAGTATGTTTATAATTTTTTAATATAAATTATAAAATTACATATAATTATCAAGTCATGCGATTAAATCAATAACCCGATACCTTGGCTAGATGAATGACCGAATCAATTTTAATAAAATTGATGGTCCATATAACAAGTAAATATAAAAAGGCGCGTGGGGATAGAAGTGGAGAGGAAAGTTAGAGAGGGGTGTGAGCTGTGGGGATGTAAGTAAAGGGCCCACTCACCATGTGCCCTCCTTCAGTCTCCACCAGCTATTGTTTCTCACTCAATCATTACATTACTTACTCTTCTCTTTGTATTCTATTTTGGGTTGCAACTTTGTATAATCAACCAAACCAAAACCCTTCATTCTCTCTTTCAAAATCATAAAATTTAAACCCTCTCTCTCTGTCTCTCTCTCCCTTAACACAATGTCTAACACTGACGGAATAACTAACGCCGTTAGCAACGGCGCTCTGGTGGTGAAGAAGCCTCCGTCGAAGGACCGTCACAGCAAGGTCGACGGTCGCGGACGACGGATACGGATGCCGATCATATGCGCCGCACGTGTGTTCCAGCTCACACGTGAGCTTGGCCACAAGTCCGACGGTCAAACCATTGAGTGGCTCCTCCGCCAGGCCGAGCCTTCAATCATCGCCGCCACCGGCACCGGCACCACCCCGGCCACCTTCTCCGCCGTCTCCGACCACAAACCCTTGCTCCCTCCCTCTCCCTTCATTCTCGGAAAGAGGATACGACCCGACGACGACGACGCCGCCGCAAAGGACGACGCCACCGCCGTCTCCTTAGTCGGACCTCCCACTCCCGCCGGTCTCTGGGCCCTTCCGGCCAGGCCAGACTTCTGGAGTTTCGCCGCAGCTGCACCACCGGAACTCATGTCGCAGCAACAGCATGGTTCGTTGTTTCATCATCAGCAACAGCAACAACAACAACAACAAGCCGCCATGGGAGAAGCTTCAGCGGCGAGGCTGGGGAATTACCTTCCTGGACATCTGAATTTGCTGGCTTCGTTGTCCGGAGGACACGGAAATTCTGGCCGGAGAGACGAAGAGCCTCGTTGAATTGGGAATTATGGTGGAAGATGGTGGTGGTTGGCGATGGTGGTGATCTTCGTATATATAATATTATGTGTGTGTTTTTTTGTCTATGGCTGTGGCTTTGTTATTGTGTGTGGACAAGCAGAAAATTCTTAGTGAAATTTTAGGGTTAGTTTTTTTTTTTTTTTTTAATTGTTTTAGTTTTTGAGTGGAGAAGTCCATGAATTAAGGAATTCAATTAGGGTTTTTCTGGTTTGGAAAACTGAAATAGGTTCTTAGAAGATGAAAAATTTGTTTAATTAGATTATTTGGGGTTTTATGGTGGAGGAGAGAAAGCGTGGATTAGTATGATATTGATTGATGAATAACTAGGGTTTGAGGCTGGAACTGATTTTCAGAAATGCAAGTGTAATGGAATGAATTGATTTGATAGTTATTGTGCAATGCTCCAAGGTGAATGAAGATTAAGCTTGGAGTGATCGTTGTTCATGTGGTTTTTGATTTGACTGACTTGCCTAATTGGGTTTACAAGTTTAGTCATTGTTGTAGTGAAGTGATTAGTGCTTGCAAGATTATTTATTTTTCCTAGCCATAGGTTGAGTGATTGTGTATATGAGAATCCACACTCACTCCCATTTTATTGGAGTACTCTTCTTTCCAATATTGATTGAGAATTCATGTTTTTGGCTGTGTATTGGGCATCATTGAGGGGATTGAGTTCCATTTAAAGTTGCCATGGTACGAAATTGGCACAGTTGATGGTGCTGTCTCCTTCAATGTCACCCTCTTTCTGCTTCTTCTCTGTAAGACCTCTGTTTTGAGATTTTTATCTGCAATTCTTAGCCATTTCTTAGATTAATCACCGTGAGAATAATGTATTTTCTTCTATGTAAGTGGATTGTTTTGGGGTGTCAGTGAAGTGAATAAAGAGTTAAAGACCCATCTTTTATCTTCCTTTGAATATTACTATTCTTGCCACTTTTTTTTTTCCTTCCGTGTATATAAGTGATTATGAACTCCTCCTGTTACTAGGCATCTGAAATTCCAAATTGAATGGTTCATTCTATACATTTTGTTTTCTGATCTTTAGTACTATATAGATTGTTAATTTGAATTTATTCTTGGAGGTAGGCCTGCTATATCATAATTCATTTTGGTGTTTTGAAATCTTTTCTTTGTTGTCATTACCATGGTACTCTCCCTGGGAGCTTGTCCTCTGGCTTTTCAGTATTTAAGGAAAGATAAGGTTAGGTGCATAACTAAGAAGAACATGGTACCGTTACTATTTTAGAGTTTTCATCCTTGGTTAAAATAAATATTATGTGGTGCATCTGATTCAACGAAGTCAATCTGGGTCTTCGTGCTGATATAAGAACTCAACTTTAGCTGAGATGTTGTATCTTATTTATGACATATTTAAGCTGGTCGTTATGACATTGGCTTTTATTGCCACACCCTTGGAAACAACCATGTGCACCGGTCCCTCTCACTCTCTCTCCGTCTTATCTTTCCAACAGAAACATATACTATGGTGAATAGGAGTGGGAAGAAGAATCAGCTGAAAGCATTGATCTCCTGAAACAGTTCCAGGATTCTATTTCAATCTCCCCCAAATTTAAGTTTCACTTGTTAAGATGCCTGGCATGTTTGGAGCATAATTTAAAGAAAATAGGAGGAAGATGATTGCTGTGATTATATCTTGGTAACAAAATAGTATTTTTTTGTGTCAATGAAGGAATTTACTTCATTTCCCTTACCCCCTCCCAATAGAAATTTCAGCAAGCATTTGTGAATATAATCTCATTTTCTTGGTACAAATGAGCTGGGGAGAAAATGAGTCCTTTTTCAGATAATATTTGGTTTGTTATACCGTGGTGGTGTGTGAAAGGGAAACCGGAAGGAGGTTGTGTATAACCAACCCATAATGTTATTTATTTTGTACTATTCTGCAGATGGATTATTGGTGGGGTATTCAAATTTCAGATGCTGACAGGTTTTTTAAATTATTGCCAAACAGAATACAGAAGGGCCAGCTTCCAATAATTGATGGGTCCTTGAAATTACCCGACGCGGTGAAACTAGCTAAACACCGTGTTATGAACAGAGGCCATATTTACACTTAATAAAAAAAAAAATTAAGTGAATGTATATCTAAAATAAGTAAGGAAAGGTATATTCATTTTTAATTTAATTTAATTTAAGATATATTATGATATTAATTTATTAAAATTTAAAAATGATATATTATTTATTGTTACAATATATCTTTTTTTACCTTCTTAATAATTTTTTTATTTTTTGAGAAATATTTTGTGGGGCATAGCTCTTGGGCCGCGTAGATTTGGCCACTTATTATATGTTAAAAAGCTTGTGGGTTGTATCCATATTGCACTACATAACAATGATTTATGTAGCACTGATATTGACATGAGACACGTGACACGATACGATATGACATTTCGATACGTTAATTCTAAAAACTGTTAGATTTTGACACGTTAGGACACGTTTTGATATTAAATAATATTTTTAATTTATATTGTATATATTATATTTAATATTCAATAATTTAACAAAAAACTGAAACTAAACTTATAATATTCATCAATTTTGCAAAAAAACATAAGATATTTCAAATATTTATATTAAACTCAATAAAATGGTAATCGTAATTCAACGAATCTAATAGTTGGAACAAAAACTCAACACAACGCAATTTTTAATTTTTTTTTTGAATTTCTATAACGCGTAATAGAGTGTCGGGAAGTGTCAGAGAGTGTCGGACACGACACGTCAGGATTTTTGAAGTGTCGGTTCTTCGCAGAGAATGATCATTGGTCTGTCTAACTTTGGTTTTTTGTTTTATATCAATGTGTTCCTAGAGAGAGAGAGATGATTATAAAATGTTATGGAAGGTTGGAAAGAGTGTGTTATAATAATACTCTTAAATTAATAATAGTGGTAAACATAATAGTTTGACTCTCTTACACCAAATTTGACGTCAATTTTTAAGTGGACTAGTCTCTTTAAGATTTGATATGACATTTTGAATTTAGAAGACTTTTGTCATGTAAGCTAATGCCACGCTATTGGTATTAATTACATGACACAGTTTTAGACGAGTTATGCTTGCCATGGATGGATGCTGCAATGACTCAAGGCAACGTGGAAGCTTACGTTTGCTTTTGACATAATGGATATCGAGAATGGTTTTCATATATGGCAAAAGTTTGATGTTATTGGGAATGGTTTTCAACTTTTCATATATCGCAAAAGTTTGATGTGGACGTAGACTGTAGCAAGCTCATTTAGGGGTCCATGGATGGTGTTTGATGATTGTCTATTTTGCAAAACTGAGTCTAGTTTAATATGATGAAAGCTTTCTTCTTGCACTAGCCATTGCAGTTAATTTATTAAAGTCAAAATTGGGACCCCTTTGCTCACACCAAAGACGTAGGCAAATAAAAAGCCAAGTTGTTATCAAAAAAAAAACCAAGTTTGGGTAAATCCCTTCTTAATCTGGAACAGTGACCATTGTGTCACTGTTCACCAACTTTTTTACCTAAATGTCACGCGAACAGTGTTATTTTCCAATCTGCCACGGGGCAAGTTCGCTTCTGACACAAGCGACCTCGGTTTGCTGATGTGTCAGCTTCCTGATGGTGTCAGAGTTCGCTTCTGACACAGGCGACCTCGGGTCCAACAATATTTTAATCAAGTTTGGTAGGCGAACTTCATTTTTTTTGAATTTTTTTTTTAAATTTAATACTTGTTATCCACTAAAAATGTGACACGTCAGTAAACCGAGGTCGCTTGTGTCAGAAGCGAACTTGCCCCCGTGACAGATTGGGAAATAACACTGTTCGCGTGACATTTAGGTAAAAAAGTTGGTGAACAGTGACATTTTGGTCAGTATCTCTTTTAATCTGAACTGCAGGATAAAGAATGACCTTTCTGTTCTTTCTTCTTTAAATTTTTTTTTTCCATTTTTTTTTTCGCAACGTTTATTGCCAACGCATTGGTATTGGATTTATAAAGGATAAACGTTCGGTAAAGGTTACATATTCATCGGTCCTCAGTTCAGAATAACTAGACTATTCACACATGGTTGAAGACGTTTCTCCGAAATGCTTATGCTGATCTTCTAAATGGGGATTGACACTATAAGAAAACCCGCATTCAAAAGCGGTTAAATTGTCATTCCCCGGTGGTTTCAAATCGTCGCAGAACCAGTTAGATTAGAGGTGATAATTCGGGTTGACATGGCATGATATAACATATTATAAATTTGACACGAACATGAATACATTTAAAACGAACATGACATGAATTTGAAAATGGATCAAAATCTTTTACTCGAACTTAACTCATTTATTTTGCGAGTTGACACGACATGACACAAATAACTTGCAAATCTCAAAGTGTCTTACTTATTGTTGGAAATTGAAAACAAATTGCACAAATTGAGAAAACAAAAAGAGAAAGGGAAGAGAAATTCACACAGATGTTTGTTCTGTTTCATCCAATATAGGCTACGTCCAGTTTGTCACTATATTCACCTCACCGTCACTCGTTACAAGTCACTCGATTTACAAAGGAATATAAATAGGATTTAAAAAATTTTAACAACAATTGTTCATGGGCCCAAGCCCAAACTACTAAGAAAAAAACTGTAATAAGTTAGAGGCCCACAACAATACCAGGCATCTACGCCATGGGCCCGGGGGCGTTGCCCCTTGCACCCTTGTCTAGCCGGCTCCCTCGGACCCTAGTTGGCTTTCTATTTATTCCGCCAACAAGAGTCCCCATCTGAATGCAAAGTATGAGTCATACCCAACATTCGCCCACTTGGTGAATGCTTTGCATACTTCTTCAGTCCCAATGCAGTTGTATATCATTCAAACTTCTCTGAAATCACTACCTTGGTCAGAAAGTCAACATTGTTTGCCTCTGTGTCAACCTTCTTCAGCAATATAACTTTGTCTTCAATCTTCTCTTTGATGAAATGGTATTGTATTCCAATATGTTTGCTCCTCGTATGGAAACCTGAGTTCTTAGCCAAGAAAATGGCGCTCTGATTATCACACCCAACTATCACCTCTCCTTGTGCAAAGCCAAGCTTTTTACACAACCTCCGCTACCAAATAGCTTCCTTGACAGCACGTGTCAAGGCCAAGTACTCAACCTCTATAGTAGATAAAGCAATCGTGCTCTTCCTCTTACTCATCCAACTAATAGCTCCTCCGAATGAAGAAACAACATATCCACTTGTAGATCTTCTACTATCAATATCACCTCCCCAATCAGCATCCATAAAGCATTTCAATTGTAATAATGTCTTCCCCTTTGAGCCCTTCACGCCTTCATAGCGTAACCCGAGGTTAGATTTACCACGAAGATAACAGAACACATGCTTCACCGCCGTCCAATACTCCTTTCCTGGCTTGGACATATACCTACTCAATACTCCTAGTGCTTGAGCAATATCCGGAGGAGTACAAATCATGGCATACATCAAACTCCCAACTGCACTTGCATAAGAGGTTGATGCCATCTCTTCTTCTTCTTCTTCTTTTGTCTTGGGACACTAATCGGCCGACAGCTTGAAATCAGTAGAGATGAGAGTCAACACTGGTTTACAATCAATCATTTTGAATTTTTTCAGTATATCTTCTATGTATTTCCGTTTACTCAACCATAACCTTTCTTTGTCACGTTATCCCTTGATTTGTATCCCCAAGATCACATTTGCAGCGCCTAGATCTTTCATTTCAAACTGCTTTGCCAGTAGTCTTTTGACAGTGCTGATCATATTCAAGCTGTTTCCAGCAAGTAGCATGTCGTCAACATATAATGTTAGAATAAAGAAATCAGCTTCTAACCTTTTCACATAAACTTAATGATCAACGTCATAACAATCAAAGCCAAGCTTCACCATATAGGTGTCAAACTTCAGATACCACATCATGGGGGACTGCTTCAAGCCATATAGGGATTTATTCACTTTGCAGACTAGATCTTCTTTACCTCTTACAGTAAATCCTTCTGGTTGCTTTATGAAAATATCCTCCTCCCAATTAACACGAAGAAATGCAGTCTTCACATCCAGCTGTTCTAACTCAAGATCATATGCAGTTGCCAAAACGAGTCTTATGGAATTCAACTTTGCAACAGGTGAAAACACATCACCATAATCAGCTCCTTCTGTTTGTGAGTATCCCTTCGCAACCAAACGAGCCTTGTATCGCTCAATTTCCCTATTGGCACAAACCTTTTTCTTGAACACCCATTTGCAACCAATTGTCTTTCGGTCTACAAGTAGCTTCAATAACTCCAAGTTTGATTTTTCATATGAGACTTCATCTCATCTTTCATGGCTTCCTCCCACTGTTTGGTATCCTTCGAGTTCATAGCTTGTCTTACAGTGATCGGAGCATCACCTGTAATATTCAGGCCACAACTATCATCACTAGCATAGAGCATGTAGTTTTCAGGTGTATACCTCTTAGATGTTCTTCTTTCCCTTGTGGACCTCCTCAGCAATGGGGCTTCAACTTCAACCTTAGTTTCAGATCTTCATCGTTAACCACATTATGTTCAGCAGCTTCAGAATTTGAACTTTACACTCCAACTTGTGAGCTTACTACATCCTCTTTCAAACCCACATCTAACTCCATAGTCTGTGGCTTTTCATTAGCTTTCGGAAAAATTTCATTCGGCTTAGATTTCCT